AGTCTTGAATATTGTGGCTGTAGGAGGTGAATAAGGCCCTATTGCGCTGCCAAACACGACTCTGCCACCCAGGGTACAGCATCGTGATGTGCGAGGGGATGGTGTAAGTACACACCAACCCCCCCCCCTCTGAGAGAGGGTGTCAGTACGACCCCCTAAATGAGGGTCTCTGGGGGGAAGGGGAAATATAGCCTGTGGGAAACCGGAGAACTCCCCACCTTCCTACCCTTTTTTCCGAACTTCCCGAGAATGTTCCTACTTCTACCCAAAAATTTTGCTGTCGAGCTGGGAGGTAGGGAGGAAGGGGGGGGGGGGGATATAGTGCACATGAAACAGGAAAAATCACGCAAAAAGTCAACAACCGGAAAACCAACGCGACAAATTTCTCTCAAAGGCACATACGACCCCCTCTCTCTCCCAACGACCAAATACGACCCCCCTCCCCAGAGAAAAAGTACGACCCCCAATCTGTTGCACACAACGATGCTGTACCCTTCCTCCACCCTCCTATCATGAATTTCTTACCAGTAGAGGCATATTCCAGGCTGATCATGGGAGGGTTCGCTTGGAATTTTGCCGTTTTCTAACTAGGCGTTTTATTTATACTTATTTGTTTTCTGCCTTGTCAAATTATTTATTTATTCGTGATTGGGTCTTGGTCTGAGTTACTGCCACCATAGAAAGGATCATTTGGACTTTGCATTCAGAGGGCGTGGAAATAAACAATACCCTTGAGGTGCAGCTGCACCGCAAACAGAAAACTGTTCTCAATCCGAAGATCAACCGCGGATTCACCTGCTGTTATCAGATGAGTGCTTAGCTATGGGCAGAACGATTTTGCAGCCGGTACTTCTGCACGAGATGTCCTGAACTAAACTCTAGCATTGTGAAGTGCAGATCTAGAGCTGCAGAACATTCCATATAAAGTGTCAAGTAAATTCGATGTGTCACCTTGTGGTGGTGAAAAACAATAGATTAATCAACGTTACTATCTGGCAAGCCAGTAAACCCTGTAAATAAAAAGTTCTTGTCAATATTTTTCCCATTGAGATCACTTGTACCTTGATCGATTCATGGAGTGACACGGGCGCGTCCCTTTTTTTGCTTTCGAGACCCTTAGAAAAAAAGGGCAATAAAAGTGCAGTTTGGGTCACGTGTCGTGCTCAGAATTCCTAACATTCCGATTAAGTGATAAGCCATATTTAGCTATAAATTCCTTTTGTATTTAAGGGCCTTTCTTCAGACCCTCTGGACCACGGCCTTTTCCTGGTTTTCTTGACTACCTCTTAGTTTTCCTCGGTAGCCATTCAGTGAGTTTTATCTAGGGACAGCGTTACAGTTTCATATCCTGAAAGTGGGGAGGGCGTGATGGCTGACATAATCTGAACCTGGTGAGCATGCCTTTTTCGTGGAGGCGCTTCCGTTTGGAACAGTTGTCATCGATGCGCTTCCATTGGAACAGTTTGTCCATTCCCTCGTGCTAGTAACAAAAACATGGCCAACAACCGCTTTCTAGAAGCACAAGCATATCCTCTAACAGTGCAGTCGCCTTCAATTCAAATAAAACGTACGCCAGCCGCCAACCCTAATCTGCCCTGGGACATGAAGGATAGTGTAGGTCCACTAAACCTCACTTGCTTTGAGCCACATTCCGCGACGATGGCCTGGGCGGACACAACCCACCGCTGTGCTTTCTTACTGGTGCGTCCATGTGAGAATTCTAGGAAGATAGACGTTTGGGGCGAAGGGAGTCCCCATGGCCATCTAAATGCACTGACCTCCGGACAACCATCGCGGACTCCTTTCTTGCGCGCCTTACGAAAAAGTTTTTTTTTTCGGCTTGAACCTTTCTCGACATAGATCTATTTTGTCGATTATCCCCTGGCCCTACCAAGCATGTAATGGCAGAATTTTTGAGGGCTTTCAAGGAGTCTCTCTTCCCTTAGGCCAGTGTTGTTCACTGGGCCAAGCATGTGGACCGCCATTCGAGCAGGAATACAGCATCGTGATGAGATTGGGAGGGAAGCGGGGGGGGGGGAGGGGAAGGTGGAATAGATTTTTGCACTCCTAGTCCTTGCCTCCCTTTCCACTATAACTACCATCATCTCCCGAACTTCTATCCAACTTCCTACCCTTTCTCCTACTTTTTTCAAAAGAAATATCCACGTTAACCGGTAAGCTGCGTCAGAAAGTAGTAGAAGAGGAGGAAACGAGGGGATCATCATCCCGCTCACTCCCCGCTTCCACTACTGGAAATGGTAGTTGTATACTGAGCTCTGGAGCGGATTGTAGGGAGGCGGGAGGGGGGGGGGGGGGGGGCTATACGAGCCCTCTCCACACCTCTACCGCAATTTCGGGACATATGCTTGACCAATGCTTTCGCAGTGCGCCTATTATTTATGAACAACACCCTACCTTTATCAGTACCACTGATAGGCGAGACTTCCTAACGAGCACGAATGAGTGAATGTCTCTACCAGTGGCGGTAGTGCCCATGAATACTGCTGAAAACTGCGCATTTCATTCGAAAGCTGTTTCTGTGCCCAGGACACGCCCACTCCTCGTACTATGATATACGTGCCAGCAGTGCCAGCTCGTCACTTTATGTAAAAAAAAATCGATATTCGTGTATTTTTTAAATCATAGGCTTGCTTGGAAACCGATGCTTTTCGCGGAATCTGACTTTTTTGTCTCTTCCGCTCCTCTTTTAACCATCTTGTGGGGTTCGGCTCGAGGGGGGGGAGGGCATTTTGCACTCACGCTGCTTCCCGTTGTCGAGCTCATTGCTGTACAAGTGTTGACAGGTATTCTTTACAAGAGCGAAGAAATGGTTTCTACATACCTTAGCTGGTAGCAGTGCATGGCTTTTCAAGGATTCATCAAATCTCTACTTGACAGCTCAACGCGACACTTGCAATCGGAAAATGGGAGCAAAAAAGGAGAAAAGGACAAACTGCCCCCCCCCCTCGCCGAACTTTGCACCATTTCTGTAATACCTGCTATCGAGCCATATCTACGCTGCCGTCTTACCAGCTGCATTTGCATTTCTTTTGACGTTTATCTTTTCAGATGATTACGAATCGAAGCGCTCATATACTCCTTTTTTCTCGATGCCGATCTATAAGGTACGTTTGCTCGAGTTTTTCTAGTTTTTACTTTTTTTAATTGTGAATATATTTGCTCCAACATTTTTGGAAAGGCTATCCGATATTCATCAAGGTACACAAGTGCAGACAATGCATCTGAATCGACGTCTAGAGAGTTTAAAACAAAACATTCGGATGGGACTTCAAGCAATTAAAAATGTCGTGTTCATATGACAGCAGGCCGTGCTAATGTTGTGGGCGGAGTCGGGCCCACCTTGCTAATCCTGATTTGGACTGCTTCTAACGTGACCCATTTTTCGACACAACACACAAAATACACGGGGGGCGGGGTGGTGGTTCAAATGTATACGGGACCGCAAGGTGAATTGAGATCCCACGCTGGCCTAAGATCAGGACGTGGACACGCCAGCTAAAAATATCGTGGAGCAATACCTTAACAACGTCCATGGAGAACTATAATTTTTGCAGAAATAGGTTTTGAGGCTCGCTGTCTTTTCGTCTGAAAGCCTGTACAGGTTGCCATGATTGTGGTGGACGGATCCATTAAAGGATTTCCGAACCGTAAAGTGCAATATTCGAAGTTGTTGCGAGAGTGCCCCCCCTCACATGAGAGAGAACATCTCTACAAGTGAACGATACCAGTTATGTCTTGAGAGCGATACATACCTCGACAAGACTCAGGGCTGTTTTGAGAATGGTCCAAAGCTTTGTGCTGCTGGTTTATGTGTTTCTGTTTTTCAGCGCTCACCGCTTTCAGTGCGAAATACTCCTGTCAACTTGTAAATACTGCAGTATAGCAAGCTGCAGAGAAACGCATTGTGGCCACCTGCCGCAAAAACACACCTGTTCTCGACCACTCGCGGGCTAAGAATAGCACCGAGTGGTTGATGAGAGCAACATGTGACTTTGAGAAACTTGTAAAGTGCGTGAAAAACATTATCGGCACCGGAAGAGCTTCCCAGCCTGCTCGAATGTGAGGGAAACGTTGACATGGCATGGGGCTGTCATACCGCTGCACCACTCAGCACTTTTTCGGCACCACCCTCATCTTTTGGAAACAATCAAATTGCCCAATGAGTTGCCTTAACTGGCCCATCTCACGATAATCGTGTGTGAGTAATGATACTCAAACATCAATTTGTAGGTGTTCAGTGGTCCAGCCGTCAAGCACGACCCTCCTTTTTCATTCTGAGTTTACAAGCTGAGTCTCGATCTAGCGCAGACGAGCGAGCGGACGCCCACTGCAACTGTCCGTGCGGAAGTTGCAGTGGGCGGGGTAGTGGACAGAAAGAGCGGAAAATGGAAATGGGTGTTTACAAAGGGCTTCCAAACGTTCATTTTAGGAAACAAGAAAATATTTGCACCCACTCCAATGATCAATGATTCGTAATCACCAATCACTAACAAAAAAAGATCTTTTTCGTACACGCAATGGTTCGCTCACACCAGCGAAGGCCACATCTTCCCTCCCGATTCTTGACTTCTTTGTTTTCCGAAGATCGTTCCAGTTTGTGCGTGTCATATGTGAGAAGTAGACTAATGGGATCTTAGAAATGGAGAAAGTGCAAAGATAAGAGCATGACGGCTGTTTCCCTATACGTCAGTGATAATGGCAAGACAGTCACAAGGTGTTTTGTATTGACTCAGTTGGGATCAGCCAGATAACATTCGTGATAACATCTCTGCACGTTTGCTTTGGTGTTCCTCACGTTCTCTGGCCCGCTTTTCTGATAGCGGGGAGTCAAAATATCAAGATTCAAATATTACAAACCGATAATTACGTAAGTCAAAACAGCAGAAACGTAATGTGAAAATATTATCGGAAATCGGTGAATCTTTCATCCGTTATGGGCGGGGACGTAATTAAAAACCCCGTACCATCATTCCGAGGAAATGCAGAAGTCGGAGAAAGTGGACCACGATCAAATGGAGAAGCCTGGCCAGTAAGCCGACGGACTACTCACAAAGGGTCTAAAGGAGAGGGACTAAACTGAAAAATCTGATGGGAAGAATGGAGTATGCGAGAAATGGTCAAATGCCTGTGGGCAAGCCCGCTGAAAGATTTCTAATGAAAAGGCGGAGGTTTGCACACAGTGGACGGGTCGATTTTTTTGACCGGGACGCTCAGCTAAGTTTGTACAAGTACGGACTCTCTCCTAAAACCTTCCCCTCTAATACGACTCTGCCCCTTTCCCCATCCTTCGTCCTCCCTGCCATCTCCCTAAATTTGCCCAACGTCCTACCTTCTTTCCGCGCTTTATTTCTTTTTCAGAAGCTTTTTCCAGAAGTTCCTTTCCTTTTTTTCCTAATCCTTCAACAGAAAAGAGTGCCATCGAGAGAGAGGGGAGGGGGGGGGTGTATGCGCAATCGAAACAGTAAAACCGCTGTTGCTGCGCTCCCAGCCGCTCTGCATCAACGCTCCAATCGTTTGCATGGATTTCCAGTGTAAGTCCCACTTGAACCTTAAACCTCCAAAATGTAGTTGAGCCAAATAGTTACAACGATAAAGATGAAGCAGTATTATGCTGAGTAGGGGCATATGACGCTCTAGGTAGAGGCCAAACCTCAACTCGCTCTCTGTAAGCTAATGTGCTGACCATAACACTACCAGAACTGCTATCTGAGCAATCTGTGAACATGAGCTGTTCTTGAGAAACAAACCCTCAAAGACGGGGCAACTAGCTGCTTGCTTTCCTGACCATCTAGCAAACCCAAACAAACATATTCAGGTATCATCGTAAACTCTGCCGTGATCTGTTCTCCAGAGCTGGAGTCGAAGGGAGACGTGCATCGTCAGTGGAAAGATTGCAGCCCCAGGCCGAACCCTTGCAGGTATGCCTGCTATGATATCATAATAATCGTTAATGTCATTACATTCTTTCAAAACAGGTTGCCTACACAGCGACATGCTACCTACACCAGGAAGTCTGCCAAACCTGACCTGAAACTTTGAATGGAGACCTGGGTACCCATCGACAGAGTCGACGCAGGTTATTTACAAATATAAGATAGCCGTAAGCTGCGACCTGTACGATTCACAAGTTAACCTACGAGCACGGTGAACTGTGCAGGGCAAGTAGGGTTGGGGCTTTGGGTGCCGCGAGACTAGTGAAGCCATAAGCAAGGAATCGCCATACGGTTCAAAAACGACATCGTTCCGAACGTCAACCTTACCATTGACAACACCACCGGACTCAACTTCGACGTATTTGCGATTTCTCGCTTATGCTGTTTTTTTTTCTTATTTCTCTGAGCTAGCGCGCTAGTAGGGAAAGCGGCCAGCATAATCTGAATGGCTGAGGGTGTACACGCCCTCTGGAAACAGCGCGAGTTCGATCTTGCCAAGGCATAAACCCCGCTTTGCACAATTGCAAAAATGGTGGCAATTGGACACCCCCTGCGACTGCGCGGAGAAAGGCTAGGGAGAAAAAGGGGGGTGCAGAGTTGTGATCAAGCACCTGCAGGGCCGTGGAACGTCATTCCTAGGAAACCTTTCTTTTTGCGCTCTTTTGTACAGTTCGCCGCACTTATAATCGATTTTTCAGATGGGAAATTGTATCACTTCTCCGCTTTGCTGCCCAACAGGTGATTCAGGTTCACCTATTCATGCCAAGTCAAAAGATGGCCATTTCACCGAGAACATCGCAAAACCGCTTTGTCCTGAGAGTTTCCAAGAAGTGCTACCGCACATCGACACCTTCATCTTTGATGCCGATGGTGAGTAAAAGAACTGCAGTGGGCAGTGGGACGGGGGCGGGCGGATCCCAAACGTCATATGTGTGAAATGACCCTAGTGAGGTGTCGGGCAGGTGCCCTCTTTGATTCCACCACAATAACAGATGGAAACACTCGCCCGCCTCCAGCAATCGTGCCCACTGCCCCTAATTACTTTATTTGGGTGTAGCCCAGGAGATCCGCGCTACGGCAACGCTCACGGACCATTGGGGCGTTTCCTAGTGTGAATCGAGTAGACAGCAGGACTTCGACCTTGAATCATTTAGATCTTGGTGCGAATGTCGCACATACGTGGCACCAATGAGGACGCCGCGCTGTCGAAATGTGGATCTCCTAGGCTACATCTGCTCTGTTTTTACCGTTTTCTGATGAATGATGCACTTTCAGGTGTGCTTTGGTTGGGCGACGAGGTGATCCCTGGCTCGCCTGCACTGATTGACTATCTCATTCAACATAACAAACGCGTGATTGTTCTTACGAACAACGCCACCAAGTCCCGAGCTGTTTATGCGGAGAAGCTCGCCAGGCTTGGTTTCAACCGTAAATTGGATAAGGTGGGTTCCCACTTGTGGTATTTCTATTGAACAGCATCAGAATGTTGCTGCTCCTTCTAGGAATCACTTGTGAACCCTGCCGCCGTCGTTGCGGATGCCTTGCACAGAGCTGGTATAGCCGGTTATAAAAAAGTTTATTTGATTGGAGCACAAGGAGTGCGTGATGAGATGGATGCTCTCGGTAAATTTAGTGGTCTCATGGGTGCGGGCAGGAGATCCACGTTGCGCAGAAACTAGCCAGTATTTCTTAGCTAGTTGACTCGCCATACCGTAATGCTTTCTTGACGAAACTGACGGGTGCTGGTGCGAATGTCGTGCATATGGCGTCACTTACAATGCCATGGCCGTGACGTGACAACGTGGATCTCTTGTTCCCGCTCCGACCGCAAAAAAATCCCGTTCCTCATTCTCTGTCTCCGAAACATTCATTTCAGGTATTGAGTACTTTGGCCATGGACCGGAACCTTTCGACGATTCTGATGGGAGTACTTTCCTGTACGACATCGAGTTAACGGAAGATGTTGGTCATGTTTTCGGGGAGTCAGGCAGCGTTCATACCTAGATTCCGTTTCCCGGAGATGGAGTGGGCGTGGTTGCGTACTTTGATAGATTATGGCCTGAGATGCGTTTGCCATGGCTTATATCCGTTTGATACAACTATTTGTCTTGTGGTGGCTATAAAGGATCGCTGATGTCCCAAAACGTGGCGACCGCCACGTGAAAGCGATGAACGTAGCCACGCCCTCTCTACCTCCAGGATATGGGGTGTTGGACGCCGGCGATCGCGCAGTTCAAGCATTTGTGCAGTTGATGGGGACCGAGACTAGTGCTGGAAGACCACGCACAGAAGTGTTTCCTAGCTAGGTGATTTGAAATACTTCCGCGTGTCCAGTTAAATCAGTTAGGTTCTGGTGCGTCGCGGCGTTATGCCATTTGCAATGCCGTTTCCGCTGCCTCGCCGCAGCTTTAGTCTCTTACACTACTTTTTCAGGATCAGAGACATTTCGATTCTGCACTTCGAGAGATTAGTGACCTCCTGGGCCACGCGAATCAGCCATTAGGTAGCGTTCAGACTTTGCGATGACGCGCAACGGCGCACCACCATAACACCAGCGCTGCAATCCTACAGATCGGAACGCGGCCTTAGACGAGTATCGGTCGACTGTGGCCCCACTGTTTTGAAAGAGCATGGAAGAATAGGAGAGTATGCGTTACCAAATCACGTGGTCTGGTACCCTCTTATTCTCCCATATTCTCTCAAGGGCAGCGGTCGGCACCAATCGATATCTGCTGTGTTTGCGTCCCCGCATACCGTTAAGGCGTTGCAGTGGTAGACCCGCATTTAGCGTGTCGCAGGTTGTCACAGCGTTTCGTCGTCCGTTGACGCGCGCTATAGCAGGTTCCAGGACATCTGCGCGAAGTCTGAACGTTGCCTTAGCCACATTGCGCTTTTCTTACCAGCCCTGTTTGCACACCTTCCGGTTCTTCATTTGAATCTGGAAGGTCCAAACGGATTTCGGTCGAAGAAGTCAATCAAAGGAGGGGTTGAAAAATCTTGATTCTTTTGAAGTAGTATGAAAAGAGGACAAAACAAGCTTGATGAGTAATCAAAATGGAATGATGGGCGATCAAGAGTGGTGGCAAACGCGCCCCATCGCTAATTTTAGAATAACGGCATATGCCGGTGTCGCGGACTATGAACGCTGCTTCACTCCTAAGTGCTCCACTTCTTCTCTGCTGCACTCGTTGAAATTCCAAAGTTGGAGCAGTGGTCGTTGGCTATGAAAAGCACTTTAACTATCACAAGCTAATGAAGGCGGCAAACTACCTCCGACAACGGCATTGTCTTTTCCTGGCCACAAATGAAGACGAGACTTGTCCAGGTCCCAATCCAAATGTCGTCACTCCAGATGCAGGTCAGCAAAGGACGTTTTCTGGAGTCGTTCTAAAGCTTATACACCGGCCTCCACAAACTCATCCTCTTTTAGGTCCCATAGTAGCGGCGGTGCGATGTGCATCTGGCAGAGAGCCAATCACTGTTGGAAAGCCAAATACTCCATCTTTTGACTACATAAGGAGGCGATGGAACATCGATCCTGAGAGGACGATGATGGTCGGCGACAGGTATTCCGACAGGTCAGATATCGGCTATTCTGTGGACTGATCCCTCAGTACTCTTTTCAGGACGAATACCGATGTGAAATTCGGTCGAGACCACGGAATGAAGACACTCCTCGTGTTATCTGGATGCCATCAGCTCGAAGATATCATGGAGAATCACCAGAATGACCTATTCGACATGGTCCCAGACTACTTCGCAACTTGTTTAAGGGCCTTATTAGTAGCTCGAGGGCCAGCTTAATTCATAGGCCAATTGAGCACTGTAAATGTTTGTACATATCAACGATGCCCCGATTTGCTCAAATTTTGCAATAATCGCCTATATATTTAATAAATATAATTCTATTGATAAAAAGTGTCAGGTAAAAATTGAGGTTGAACCTTCGGATGTTGAACAAGCCTATTTGGGATGTGCCATGCATCCCGCTTCCATTAAGAATTCTAGGGGTCTTTTGAAAGATTTCAGCCTA